CTGGCACCTTGCTGTGCCGACGTTCTAAGAAGCTCTACAGAAGAATGAACAAGTTTCTTGATCATTCATTCCTCTGTCGCTAGATTCACTTTGAGAGTATCCTCATTCAGACTGGATCTTCATCGACTACATCAGATGAGTCGAACTCGAAGAACTTTAGTCATTACAATACAAGTGAAAGGATCAGCTCTTCTGAAAACAACAGTCATCTTTGAAAAAAGTCTCAGAGGTTTTTAGGAGGGGACTTCATTACCTCCACTGTTTGTGAAATCTCTATCATCGAAAATTATGGAGAGAGTGAACGAAATTCAAAGCGAATTCAAAAATTCCAAACTTTCAAAGCGCAGTTTTCGACTATATGCTCTCAAAGCATGAGACTGCAATAACCAGTAAGTAGGTAGTGGAGGCGCACAAGTTGGTAGCGAGCGACAGAAGGGATTGTATTAATGCTGCATTTCCCCAAAATGAGCCAGAAGGGATGTCCTTTCAGGGATCAGCACGACCTAATAAGTTGATCCCTTTATTCCCTGTCAGCCCCTTTTTCATGTTCCCGATCACCTTTGGTTTGAAGCTTTTTCTGGGTTAGCTCAAGCGGTGCAACTTCATGCACAGAGGTCTTGTAAGAAGGTCTTTCGAGAAGGATCTGATGACTCTTCGTTCAGGAAAAATCATCAGATCATTCTCTGATGACAATTGGTCAATTTGAGAAAAGCTGCATTGGTCTACATAGGCCATTTGAAGGTTTTAATCCTAGTCTCCCGGCTCCTTGGTGAAAGAGTTGACTATCTCGAAAACGTTCGGCGACACATGATAGGAAAAATGCATCGATTCTCAAAGAGACGGTGTATCCAGAAACTTTTGCTGAATACGGGGTTCCAGTCGCTGCAGAGCAACCTGGGTAGCAATCAGTATTTAGTACTTATTGCATGCGGATATGCACATAGGATTGAGGTGTGTCAGTTGGAACTCTCTACCTTGAACTTCTTAAGAATCCATGGCAGGGATGCAAGTTGTTGTAGGAATAGTTCTCCAAAATTTTTGTTGGCATGAATCCGTTCACTGAAAAGTCGACGGGCTTGTAAAATTGAAAGGTGGTTCGATGGAGCTCAACAAGGGCCGAAAGCCGGTCCCTACACCCATGGCCATTCAGTACTTCAAAAAAGAGAAGTGTTCAGCGGTCTCGTTGAGAAGTCGTTTTACATAAAATAAATCATGTTTATTATAAATATCACTTAATATAAGCTAATAGCACACATACAGCGGCCCTGCAGCGACTGGACCTAGACCCCTCCCTCGGCCAAATCTCGTCCAGCCTCAGAAATCATTGGTTTCAAAGGTTCTATAAATCAGAATTTCAATGGATTTTCTTGTTTACTGCGCCAATGATATATAGTATTCTGCATCAACCCTTCCGTCCTTCAACCTGGAAAAAAGATATGCGAGTTTATTGAAAGCTGCACCTCAGGAGCTAGTGTGCACCCTAAAACCGAAAATTATTTATTTTGCTTCGTGCACGGCTTGACAAGCACGGCCCTTCTTCGGTTACAAAAGCCTTGCTAATCTGTTTGATTAACGACTAGCGCCAACTGTAGCGCCCTCCTGGACTCAGATAAAATTGACCGTTCAAGTAGGACTATGCCAGAACACTAAATCTCACGCTGCATATTTCAGCACATTTGTTGAATGGTCAAAACGAGTCCTCTTTACACTTCTGTTTTTTAGCTCCTTATACATATGTATATGTTTATTAAACTTCTACTCATATCAATAAATTGTTGCTGATGTTGAATTTGTTAAAAGGTATAATACATTAATATGGTAACGCGATTCAGCCAGCAGTTACTTGGCTTCCGCACTCTCTTGAATATCAGCTCCGGACATATTCCCACTGTACTTATAACCAGATTAGATTCAGATCTACGGCGGAAGTGTTCTGACACTAAACTTTGGCAGTTTCCAATCGATCACATCTTTTGTCGGATAATGAGAACGGAAGAGTTTGAAGTCGAATATTTCCATTTTCCGCCCTCAACTACTTTGTTCTTAGAGTGAAATGTGTTACAGTAGCGTGACCATTCGGATAATCGAATAAAGAACAATCTGGTGGAACCTTATATGTACAATTCACGATAGTTTTAGGTAATCCAGATTATGACGAAAGCTGTATGATAAGAGTGAATATATTGCGATGAAAGAGAATAAACTGTGTGAATCGGGTTTCCAACGTGAAAAAAAAGGCTTCGTAGAAATCGTTAAAAAGGGGACTGGACGAGAATGAGACCAGCAAAATGAAGAAAAATGGGGCTCTTGGACGAGCTATACAACGTGTGTCATTGCGTACGTGTGGGTCCTGGTGCGAATAGCTGGCTACGGTAAGCAAAAATTCATTGACTCTTAAAATAAATAAAAGTTGTAGGGAGTTATGATCTATGTCAATAAGACGTGTTATCATAGACTTTGCAAAACCGCGCATTGTACGTAGCTATGCCAGATCAGCACCTAGAGGTTTTTGTTTTGTCAGTGCAATGCTCTAAAAAACATCTCGTATCTTGGTGATTACACTGGCTGCTTCCATAGTTCTCCGGCCAGCCGCGAGCGAGCGGCGCTTGTCCCTTGTTTGCAAATGAGTTTTGGTCGATACCGCCGGCCGAGTAGTCCTCCGGCCGACGCGCTATGAAAGCAGCCACTAGGAGATGGACGCGAAAAGTTTGCAGGCCATTTTCGATGCCAGGCCAGGATGTAGATGTAGTTGTTTACCGAATAGTAGAAGATGTTCGCTGAACTCGTCAGTCGCATGGAAGGGATGGTTTCAGGCTCACGTTCGACTGCTCCAGCCAATGCAGGCGAATTTGCGGTGAACTCACTGTCAGGCGCTTACCCGAATTCGTATACGATCCCGAAAATGAGTGTACCTTCGAGATACCGTAGCAAGGCTGCAGAAACTTTTTAGACACAACATGTCGGTTTTCTCGTGCCGCTACGCATATCTGAAGACTGAACGCAGATGCGTACACCTTCGCTACTGTACCGGACTGGTCAACCAGCGACACGCGATGGCCGGCCCTTCTTCGGTTACAAAAGCCTTGCTAATCTGTTTCATTAACGACTAGCGCACACTGTAACGCCTGCCCCTGGATTCCGATAGAGTTGAACGTTCAAGTAGGATTATGTCGGAACTCTAAATGTCACGTTGCATATTTCAACACATTTGTTGAAGAAGCAAAACGAATTCTCTCCACATTTTTGCATGTTTTCGAGCTTTTTGTAGAGTATTTGCTTCTGCCACTTATATGAATATACTACTTTTGATCCATTCTGTAAAAGATATAGCACATGATGTTGTAACGAGATTCACCCAGAGCTTACTCCTTCCATCCTCTCTTGAATATCTGTTTCAGACATGTTCTCATTGTATGTACTTATAGCCAGTTCAATGTGGCTCGCTTCCTTCCAGTCAGTTTTATATTTGCTATATTTATTCATGTGGGATAGAAAGATGGAAAAACTGGAATAATCGGAAACTTGGTAAAGTTCTTGGTAAAGTGGTAAAAATGATTGATTGATCGCGACTGATAATTTTGAGTCCTACCTCCAAGTTACTTGCGTTGGAATCGGAAGGCTACTGACTGGGTCCCGGATGTCAAACGAACACCAAAACGGCCACCAGCCTAACGGTCAGACTTGTTCATGGAAGCTTCGAACGAAGGGAATGGCATACTTTGTATTCCTTAAGCGCAGAAGGTCCATAGGCTCTTCTGACTTGGGCTAAAGACGCTCCTGGCGCCACTTTCGGGCAAAACGATGAATTATGGGGCAACACGTAACCGTTCAATTGGAAAATTTATTGCAAAAAGAAATCGTACGTTCATAAACTGATCCTTTAACAGCACACGATCAGCACAAGCTGTTAGTTTACTACTATATATAAACCAGAATTACCCGAAGAGAATGGCATAAACGGTAGAGTAAAAGTGTTTATATTGGGAATACTTTATTGACAAATGGACATGGACAGAAACAGATGAAAAGTCAACGAAAAGGACAGGGAAAGATTTCGGAAATAGAATTCTTCTTCTTCTTTCAATCATACAACAGTGACATGACTTCAAGGTAACTTAATTGTTGTGGCAGCACCTATTCATAAGCGAATTAGTTACGTCTAACAAATGCGTCCGGAAAATTACAATAAATGCCATAGAAACTATTGGAAAGGCAACATTCGAAGAGAACATTCCTTCTACAACAACATGAAAAGAATCGAGTTCACCAACAAAGAAGCGATGCTGACCCAACTAAAATGAATATTCAATCAAAGTAATAGATCGAGCAAAATCAGATTCAACGCCTACACCACAGACAAAAAGCTGGTCGCTACTCAGTTTGACCAAGTACTACTTCTTTCAGATCACAATTTACGCATAATTATAAACACGACCAATATGATCAGTCCCATTATCCTATCATTCTGTCATTCAACATAAAAAGCAGAAAGATTAGAAAAACAATACTGTGAGTGACAAACCATTAAATCGAAATTTCTCGAATCTTTGCGGTGAAATGTTCGCGGCGCAACAATGAGAGCCTGGCTATCTAACTCAACCCACCATCAAAAACAATTTTCACTATAGATTACACATTTAACAACAGAAGTCTTAATAAGTCAGAATAAAGAGCCATTCTGCAAATAGATTAACAAAAATATACAGTAAGAAAAAGTTCGACGATAATACATTTGCGTACTGCACAACAACGACCAGCCATTTAGCAACTACGAGGAGACGATCCGGATGATCCATTCGATGAGTACGCTCGTTTTACGTACTCTGGAGCACCATCTAATTCATCTTGGTCTTCAACTGAACTGAATCCTTCAGGAGTCGGTGATGGAGATCGGGATACCAGCTCCTTCAGACGTCCACCAAATGCCTACAAAGTCGAGCATATACTACTAATGAGTATGAAGTAAGGTTGTCGTCACAGTCATGGAAAAGTTTATCAGAATTTCATCGGCTTCCATGAAAGACAGCTCAGGCAATTAACATTTAAAAACTATTAAAAATGCTTACATTCAATCGTCCATCGCGATGGAACGTATCCAAAAAGTCCCGTATGAACTCATCCGATCGACTTTTCCAATTACTAATGAATTCCAAACTTTTTTCTTTCAGACTGTCGACCTTGTTTTGTATTTGATACTTGCTTGCCTAAAAAGTTATACGTCTGCGAAGCAATACCAAACCACCTTGACAATAAAAACTATCTAGAACAGCCTCGACTCAGTGGTAATGGGAAATTAATGAGAGACGCCTCTATATTGGCCCATGCATTCGATTCCTATTCAGAATCGCAGTATCAATTGAATGTGTTATGATCTATTCAACGTCGGCCGAAGTGAAAATTAGTGATTCCACCCTCCCAAACAATCCGGTCATCAATCAACCATTCCCGAAAAGATGAAAAGCAGAATGAGTTTGGCGTGTGGATCTTTTCCTTTGATTTAAACAGCTACATCTGATGCTTTCTCTCGGCTACACGGCATGGTTAAGAAAGTGGGCCAATCGTGATTGTCCGGCTCAACTAGTTTCGACTTTTACTAACCTGAACATGCCTTCGATAGAATGGATAGGGCGTACCTAAGGTCACTTATCAGTAATGACCATTAATTTTCTGACTTTTATTCTAACAGCCCGAAACTGTGAGGTGTGAGCAATTTGAAAATCGTTCATTAAGCTGATTGGAAATACCTTAGACACTCACCGCAAGAAAGCCGACATTCAGTTCCTTCGCAGAATACCCCCTTTGAAGATTTCTACGCACGTATTTATCATAGTCTCGAATAATTCGACAAACAACGTCGCTGGTTGAAACTCCTTCAGTGCGCTGCGTCTCAATGAACATTTCTGAAGTGATGGGCGTTTAAAAAATTGTAAAACGTATCCAAACAGAAAAATCTCGCAACCTTATTCAATTGAAACAATAATGACCTTAGTGAAAGTTCAACATTCGAATTTACGGAATCTTCAACACTGTATCAACTCTTTCACACAAAAAGTCTCAAGTCATGGTTTTTAACTACAGCCGTTCCCCAAGACATCATGAAGCTGCTTTTTAAAGAAACGTGAGCAGACTGACCCACCTGGTAGTAATTCTAAACAACTTAAGATGCACCCATGAACAATTTACAGAACGAATTCTTCTTTTACCTACTACCTCAAAAATAGAAGGATAAAGTATTCAGGCATTGATCAGTCCCATTTGAGGGATGCGCCCCGCATTCGACTTCTATTTCTGGAATGGCTATCTGGATCTTCTGTGCAAGCCCCAAGTGTTCCAGACACTGGTTTTGCTCTCTTTGGGCTATGGAATAAGGCTAGTAAGTCGTCATTCATTTCTGCTAAAATTAGTTTTAGAACTTCCAGCCGTAAATTGCCATCTCAACACAACGATTTTTCCCGTAACTTATTTGCTACCCAGCAATTTACGATCAAACCAATGATCAATTTTGAAATGGCAAATTAATAGACCGATGATCGATTTCGACATGAAACTACCTTCTCTCCTAAACTTTTCGTAGAGATCCTCCTCTCCAGGTGCCACATATGGTATCGCATCGTGAGCGATGAAATCCACCTAAAAATTCCAATCTGAATGAGAATTCTGCTGACCAGGGAAGGATCCCAAGTCGAAGTGGCCATTTGAAATGAGACCTACACTGCTAGACGTGTTTTTGGATGCTGAGTCCGAATCTGCTTTCCAAATTTGCCGAGCGTTTCTCTAACAGAGTTAGGAGGGTGGTTTCAGGGAGCTTAACATGAGAAAACTTAAATTACATGGGTGTTCCTCATCTCGCAACGGCGGCTTGGTGTAGTGGTAAGCGTGACGCTTTATAGGCGAGAGGCTAGGGATCGGCTTTTCTGGGGGACGGAATTTTTGCATTAAATAGAATTTTTCCCTAAAGGACTAGAAAATACTCTCACGATGAGATTATCACGTTTTATGACCTTTTAATGCTTTTACTGATATTTATCCACATAAAGTAATACTTCAGTTTTATCGCATGCCCATGCACTCCATATTCACAGCAGGATTCACAGTAGGGTAGCTTTTGCCACTTTATGAACAAATGTGATACTCTAGCACGCAGCAGCACGAAACGTTTGAAACAAAGAAGCTTCTCACAACGGAGCAACGGATGTGAAAGAAGTCACAGTCCATTCCTTTACACTTATCAACCCCAAATCAGAAGGAAAACAGAATTGTGTAGGCGTCATAAAATCATCCGGGTGAGTGCTTAAGTAGCCGGCGGCACACCATGAATGAAAGGGGAAAATATAGCCGTACAGAACTGAAAGTGAACAGGCGATAGTGAGCGAGGAGTGGGGTCTCGTGTGTACACGCACAAGTTGAGGTTATGAGCTATTTCATATGAGGTGATGTGTTTAACCATATTTTTGAAAGGAAATGAGAAATAAGCTCTTATCGGGCTACATTAGCTTCGTAGTAGCCTCGAGCAGGGTGTCAATCCCTTCACCTGCTTTTGTGGGTTTAAGGTGCACTGAATAGCTTTCTGGTCTTCGAGTCCACTATCACCAGCGCCGGTGTTGGTAAGTCCGGAGCTGTTATGCACCATCGCACACGTTCTAGCATCAGCACCCGCTCTAGCATCATCATTGCTCATCATATGCATTTTCCCTCCC